CTCCCTCTCCTCCACCCCCACTCCCTCTCCCTCTCCCTCTCTAGTCCAAAGAGCAGTCAGGGTTTCATGCCCTGTGGGAAGTTCAAGTTCCTCCCCTCTCCCTCCAGGTCTAGGAAGTGAGCATCCAAACAGACTAGGATCCCAAAAAGCCAGTATATGCAGAGGAAACAAGACCCAGTACCATTGTAAATGGCTTCTCAGTCAGCCCCCATGTCAGCCACATTCAGAGAATCCGGTTTGATCACATGCTCGTTCAGTCCCAGTCCAGCTGGCCTTGGTGAGCTCTCATTTGATCAGTCCCCTTGTATTAGTGGGTGAACGCACACCTCTCGGTCCTGATTTCCTTTTTCATGTTCTTCCTCCTTCTGCTCCTCATTTGGACCTTGGAGGCTCAGTTCAGTGCTCTAATGTGGGTCTCCGTCTCTATCACCATCCATCATCAGATGAAGGTTCCCTCTGGTCCTGCCTATCTTGCTCACGTTTTCCCTCCTTCTGCTTATCATTTGGACCTAGGGAGTTAAGTCCAGTGTTCCAATAAGTGTCTCTGTCTCTATCTCCATCCATCGCCAGATAAAGGTTCTATGGTGATATGCAAAATATTCATCAGTATGGTTATGGGCCAAGGCCAGTTCAGGCACCCTCTCCTCTGCTGCCCAGGGAACAATCTCGGGACCTCTCCTTGGGACTGAGAACCTCTCCATAATCAAGTCTCTTGCAAACCCTAAAATGGCTCCCTTAGTTGAGATATATACTTCCCTGCTCCCATATCCATCTTTCCTCCCTCCATCTCATTTCCCCAAGCCATCCCCAATCCTCCCCCTCTCCCTTTTCCCTAGCCATCTCCCCTTACTTCCACCCCCCAACCCCCCGTGCACCCAAGTTTGCCTGGCAATCTTGTCTACTTCCAATATCCAGGAGGATAACTATATGATTTTCTTCAGGTTCACCTTCTTATTTAGCTTCTCTAGGATCACAAATTATAGGCTCAAAGACCTTTAACTATGGCTAGAATCCACTTATGAGTGAGTACATACCATATTCCTCTTTTTGGGTCTGGGTTACCTCACTCAGTAAAGCGTTTTCTATTTCCATCCATTTGCATGCAAAATTCAAGATGTCATTGTTTTTTACCGCTGAGTAAAACTCTAATGTGTATATGTTCCACACCTTTTATAACCATTCTTCTATTGAGGGGCACCTAGGCTGTTTCCAGGTTCTGGCTATTACAAATACTGCAGCCATGAACATAGTTGAACAAATGCTTTTGTAGTATGATAGGGCATCTCTTGGGTATATTCCCAAGAGTGGAATTGCTGGGTCCTGAGGGAGGTTGACTCCCAGTTTCCTGAGAAACCGCCACACTGATTTCCACAGTGGCTGTACAAGTTTGCATTCCCACCAACAATGGATGAGTGTTCCCCTCACTCCACATCCTCTCCAGAATAGGCTATCATTGGTGTTTTTGAGTTTAGCTATTCTGACAGGTGTAAGATGGTATCTCAAAGTGGTTTTGATTTGCATTTCCCTGATTGCTAAGGAGGTTGAGCATGTCCTTAAGTGTCTTCTGGCCATTCGAAGTTCATCTGTTGTGAATTCTCTGTTCAGTTCAGTACCCCATTTTTTAATTGGGTTAATCAGAGTTTTAGTGTCTAGTTTCTTGAGTTCTTTGTATATTTTGGAGATCAGACCTTTGTCTGATGAGGGGTTGGTGAAGATCTTTTCCCAGTCCGAAGGTAGACTTTTTGTCTTACTGACAGTGTCCTTTGCTTTACAGAAGCTTCTCAGTTTCAGTAGGTCCCATTTATTCATTGTTTCTCTTATTGTCTGTGCTACTGGGGTTCTACTTAGGAAGTGGTCTCCTGTGCCTATATACTCTGAGTAGATGTCTGTCTTTGTAGTTGAGGTGTGTTTCTTGTAAACAGCAGAATGTTGGATCCTGTTTTCATATCCAATCTCTAAGTCTGTGCCTTTTTATAGGTGAATTGAGTTCATTGATATTAAATGATATTAATGACCAGTGGTTGTTGACTCCGGTTATTTTTTTCTTTTGAGGTAGTAGAGTGTATGTGTTTCCCTTCTTTGAGTTGTGCTTGTGAAGGGTCACTAGATGTCTGAGTTATGGTAGTTGGTGTTGGGAATGTTGGATTCCTTGGGTTGTGATTTTCCTTCTATTACTTTCTGTAAGGCTGGATTTGTAGCTAGGTGTTCTTTAAATATGTTTTTATCCTGGAATATTTTGTTTTCTCCGTTGATAGTGAATGATAGCTTGGTTGGGTATAGTAGTCTGGGCTTGCATCCATGGTCTCTTAGTTTCTGCAGTACCTCTATCCAGGACCTTCTGGCTTTCATGATTTCCATAGAGAAGTCTGGTGTAAGTCTGATAGGTTTACCTTTATAAGTTACTTGACCTTTTTCCTTTGCAGTTATTAATATTCTTTCTTCAATCTGAATGTTTTGTGTTTTGATTATTATATGGCGAGTGGATTTTTTTTTTGATCCAGTCTATTCGGTGTTCTGTATGCTTCTTGAACCCTCATAGGGATATCGTTCTTTAGGTTGGGGAAGTTTTCTTCTATAATTTTGTTGAATATATTTTCTGGACCTTTGATCTGCAATTCTTCTCCTTCTTCTACCCCTATTATTCTTAGATTTGGTTTTTTTATTGTGTCCCACATTTCCTGAATGTTTTGTGATGACAATTTGTTGGATTTGCTGTTTTCTTTGGTCAGAGCGTTTATTTTCTCTATGGTGTCTTCAGAGTCTGAGACTCTTTCGTCTATCTCTTGTATTCTATTGGTTATGCTTGTTCCTGAAGTCTCTGTTTGTTTACCTAGATTTTCCATAGCCAGCCAGCCCTCGGTTTGTGTTTTCTTCATTGCCTCCATTTCAGTTTTCAAATCTTGAACTGTTTCCATTACCTGTTTGATTGTTTTTTTCTTGGTTTTCCAGAATTTCATTTACGGATTTACTCATTTCTTCAAACTTTTTGTTATAATTCTCTTCCATTTCTTCACTCATTTCCTCAATCTTTTTGTTATACTTATCTTCCAATTCTTTATGGCAGATTTTCACCTCCCGTTTAAGTTCCTCTATTATTTTCATAAAGATCCACTTAGAGTCGATTTCTTCTATTTCTTCTTAGGGTGTTCAATTCTTCTAGTTTCGTGATCCCTGGATTCTGGAGATGCCATGTTGCCTTTCGTGTTGTTGGAGGAATTCTTGCATTGGCGCCTGCCCATCTCCTCCTCTCTGAATGAAACTCCTCAGCACTCTCTGGATAGAAGTCCTCAGCACTGAAACAGGGACATCTGGTATTCCAAGGACAGAGGAGACAAAAGGGCGGTGGCAGTAGGGGCAGGGAGGAGTCCCGTGGAACACCAAAAACCCTGCCACAGAAGCTGAGGGGGGGGCTGTGCTCTCTTCCAGGACAGACTGCCCCAGCGAGCACCCACTCACCTCTCTGGACAGAACTCCTCAGCACTGAAACAGGGACATCTGATATTCCAAGGACCCAGGAGACAAAAGGGCAGAGGCAGTGGGGGCAGGGAGGAGTCCCATTGAACACCGAAGGCCCTGCTGCAGAAGCTGAGGGGGGCTGTGCTCTCTTTCGGGACAGACCACCCTGACGAGCACCCACTCACCTCTCTGGACAGAACTCCTCAGCACTGAAACAGGGACATCTGATATTCCAAGGACCCAGGAGACAAAAGGGTGGCAGCAGTGGGGGCAGGGAGGAGTCCCGTGGAACACTGAAGACCCTGCTGCAGAAACTAAGGGGGGGGGCTGCGCTCTCTTCCAGGACAGTTCGCCTCGGCGAGCACCCACTCACCTCTCTGGATAGAACTCCTCCCAAAACCTGCTTTCTTATACAACCACTAGAACCACCTACCCAGTGATGTCACCACTCAGAGTGGTCTGAGCCCTCATTCATCAACCATTAGCCAAGAAAATGTCTCACAGAAAAGTCACAGGCCAATCTGATGGAAGCAACCCCTCAGTTGAGGTTCCCTCTACCCAGATGACTGCAGTTTCAATTGAGTTGACAAAAGCTCACCGTCAAACGTGAGTCCCAATGATTATATCTACCATGCAACCTCTGCACTTAAAACTCAGAGAACATAGAGGAAGAAGGGGCACAAAGATTGCAAGAAACAAGACTGGGATGCCTGCTGCTGCTAGATGGTGCCTTGACAAGGATGCTGTACCCATAAAATCTCAACAATATGGTTGCCAAAATAAGACTCTCATAAGAATAGCACCAATTGGTGTACCATTGTTAATGAGGGAAATCTCATAAGATCCTGCCCCTAGATGAAGAGCTGTAAACAATCGGTGGCCGCAGAGGGAGGGAAAAATCACCTTTTTTCTGGGGTTAAGCACCTTGATAGGTTATCCAATCCCAAGTTGTCAACCTCAAACACACATTCATGCAAACAACACTAAATGGACTCAGCAGGTTTTCTATAATACATGTATATATGTAACAATAACAATTATAGAATGAAAGGTCCATGTATCTGAGAAGGAGGGGGCATGGAAAGAGTTGGGGAAAGAGGTGGAAATGATGTAAATACAGTACTTGTGTGAAATTCTCAAAAGAATTTAATTTTTTTAAACTTAAAAACCTAGAGGGCATATACAGAAAATTATACCAACAAAAACAAAATCTGAATTAGTAAGAAAGAAAGGATGAAGAGAGATATGCTGACAATGTTTGAATTCTGGAGTCTTTTCTGCCTAGACATTTAGGCATCCCAGGTATTCTTAGAGAGTAGATAGAGCTCCTAGGAAGCAGTCTCTAAGGTAGAGGTTAGTATGCAACATTATTAAGGAGATTTCTAGCAGGCAAATGTGTAAGGAAGGAAAGAAAAGATAAGAAAACATAAGTGTGCTACAGAAGAATGAATTATCATACAGCAACACCGAGACCTCAGCAATCCTGCGGGGAGATCTGAAACTGGAGTGACTCTGAGTAACCTTGGGGAAGATGACTCTGGATTTTAGTTGTTTGGTTTTGTTTGAGGCCAAGTCTTGTAACTATAGCCAAGCAAGGCTGAAACTCACAGTGCTTCTTTTGTTTCAGCCTTCTGAGTACTGAGATTTCCAACATGGGATACCATACCTGGAAAAGATGATTTTATCTGAGACAATCTCTGTAGGTATTTAGAGTGTGATAGAAATAATATGCCTTCTCCATGAGAAATCACTCTGCACACTTACAGCGGAAGGAAAAGCTCCTTCCTGAAGCTAATTCTCAAATAACAGTCAACTTTGAATCGATGTCTCTAGCTTATATACTCCTTGGGCTTATGAATTTAACACACACACACACACTGTCTTCCTTAAATCTCTTTCGGGTCCCAGCTACACTTGGAACAATTTAAACAGAGACAGGGGACTGGAAATCTGAGCACTTGAGCAGATGGGAGATTTACACAGCAAAGATATTGTCGGAACTGATTTTTAAGTACACCAGTGTTGTTCTTCCTGAATAGTTGTTGCTCAGTCATCTGGCCCACCTGACAGAATTATGCTTCCTGATAAGCTTTTTAGTGTTTAGTTTTGAAGCACTAGAAAGGTTGTACGGTGTAGAATCCTAGTTCAACCTCTGGTTCCCTGATAAACAGAGGAAGAGATGCTGAGAAAAGTCTCTAGTTGCATGCCAAAAGCCTAAGTGAGTGCACAGCATCTGGCAGTGTGGTTATCCCTGACCAAGAAGAAAGAAACCAATACTGAGAGTCCTTTGATCTAGAACTTTTAGAGCTCATCGCTGTGAGTATACAAACTTTAGGTTTTGAAGTCATCCAGTCTATGTAACTTTATTAAGACAGCCAAAGCTAACAGCTGGGTGGAGAAGAAACATCTAGAAAGCCCCACATAAGTCTGGGACTGTATGCATGTCCAGAAAAGACCTAAGATCACAACAGCTCACCTCAGACTGATTTCTAGGCCCAGATCAAGCAGAAAAACGAAGATGTTAGGTAGGAGACAAGTTCTGGAAAGGATTGGTCAAAGGACCCCCTGAAACAGGACATAAAGAACAATATGTCATGGTGGTAATTCCAGATGGGTCAGATCAGGGCTCTAGGAACAGGATATAAAAACAGTAATGAGTGGTGCTGGTCCATTCTTTGCTAGGTGAACCACTCACACTAGCTTCAGCAACTTCCATAACAGGAAAACTTAAAAGAATGTTGCTTGTAGAAGGCCGCAACCACACTCTCCACCATAGATGGCGCTGCACCGCCAGGTGAGCTAGAAAGCTCACACGTGTTGGTATTTTTCCACTACTCCCAAGGTATCACCTGGGACTGGGAGCAGTTGACCAATCCAAGAATGACACGTCCAAAGCAGGGTCTGTTTCCTATATAAGGGATGGGTTCCATCTTATCTGGGTCTCCGCCATGTTGGCTGATGCCCGCTCTCCCAAGGGGCATTAAAGCTTTACTGCAGAAGTATCCTATGTGTACCGCGTGGTTCTTGCTGGTGAGACGGAAGCGCGGGACAGTTGCTAACCTTTTTCTAAGTGGTTTTGTATTTTACTTAAATGCTTACGCACATTATTGAATCTTATATATCTACTTAGATTGAATTTTTGGTAAAAAAAAAATTTCTTCTGAGAAATGTATGTCCTTTTTCTGGAAGTAATCATCCTGTAGGAGGGCAAAAAGGAAGGAATAACACAAGAAAAGAAATATAAGCCCCATGTCTGTTAGGGTCAAGGCTTTCCTGTTGGGTTCAGCTCATTAATTTCATATATATGTATGCATATGTATATATACATATACGCGCATATATATATATACATATATATATATATTCTTGCTTCTTTACTTACTCTAACTAACACTTTACTTTGCTTCCTCTACCACCATATCTCATCTGAAACACAAGAACCAAGACTGCTTCTGGGTCAAGAACAGAAGAAACTGAAGCTATTGCCTTAACCATAACAGAGGGTAGCGTCAAATTTGGAATCGTCTCGCTGAGGGTTGAAGGAGTGCCCTGCCTGAATCCAGAGTCAATCTTCAAGGGCCTAGAAAATGTTTTCCTTTCTTTTCCTTTCCCTTCCCTTCCCTTTCCACTCCATCCCATATCCCATCCTTCCCTTTCTGTCCTGTCCTGTCTCTTATTTATTTTTTCTCTTTTACATTCTCCCTTAAAAAAAATGACGCCAGGCATTTAAGAATCTCTCTGTCAAATGACCAGATAACTTCTCGGCTAAATGAAAATAGAGCACACACAGCATCAATGGACAAGAAGTATTGCTCATACTTGGTTGCCTTGCCCAACCTTAATACATGGAGGTGGGGGGGGGAACTTGGTCCTATCTCAACTTGATATGCCATGCTTTGTTGACACCTACAGGAGGCCTGCCCATTTCTCAACAGAAACAGAGGAGTGGACTTGGGGAAGGGGGGTGGTAGAGGGATTGGGAGGAGAAGAGGGAGGGGAATCTTTGGTCAAGATGAAAAATAAATGAATAAATTTAATAATAAAAAGGAATATGGCTTTTAAAAAATAGCATTGTAAAAATATTATTGACAGTAAATAGGAAAACAATACATTTTTTGCAGAGGGGAGAGAAACTGAGTAACTGCATGACAATATTAAAAATATCTAGTTTAATGCAGACAATTACAAAACATAAGAGATATAACAAACTATTGCCCATTCACAAGGAAAAAAAATTAACAAAAGTCCTCAAGAAATCACAGATATTGGACTTAATTAACAGTATTAAAACAGTCTCATAGAATTAAGGGAAAATATAAACAAAAAATTAAAGGAAAATATAACCATCATAAAACTGATGTTTCAACAAATATAGACTATCAATTTAAGAGATAGAAATTATTAAAAAATAGAAATTTTAGGTTCAATAAATGTATTAATTGAAGTAAAGATGTACTAGAAGATTTGAGAAAAGCGGAAAACACAACCAGTGTACTAAAATACATGTTAAATCAAAGTATTTACTTTGAGGCACAGTGAGAAAAGAGAAAGAAGAAAATGAAGAGTTTGTAGTACACCATAAACCATATTGCACACAAAGTGAGAAATACAGAAGCAATGAAGACAGGACCATGTGATAGTTACACTTCATTGTTAATTTGTCAGAATCTAGAATCACCTAAGAGATGAACCTCTGAATATGCCTGGGAGGGAGTTTCTGGATTAGGTTGAAGTCT